GCTGCGGTCGTGGCGCGACGTGCTCTGCGGCGGCTCGGGCGGCCGCGGCGAGCTCGGCGTCGCCGTCGACGCGCTCTGCGGGCCGGACCTCGCCGACGCCGCCGTGCTCGTGGACGGCGTGGCCGCGCGGCTCTGCGACGACGGCGCCCTGGGCCTGCGGGCGCGCGTCTTCGCCGTGCTCGCCGCCGCGGACTACGACGACGTCGAGGACCGCGAGCGGCGGCGGGCGAGCGACGTCACGCGCGACCTGCTCGCGCGCGAGCCGGCGAGCCGCTACCTCGACGCCCTCGCGGCGGCGACGCGCGACGTCGCCGCGCTGCTGGGGCGCCTCGAGCGCGAGCTCGTCGCCACCGCGCGGCGGCGGCGCGGCCACACGGACGACGCGAACCGGTCCGACACGGACGACGACGACCGCGAGGCGGCGCCCTGGTCGTGCGACGTCCGCGCCATGCCCCGGGGCGCCGCGGAGCTGCGGTGCCGCGTCGACGACCTGCTCGACTCCATCTCGACGGCCTGCGACCGGCGCGAGGCCGACTGGCTCGGCGGGTCGCTCCGGGCCGCCGCGGTCCGCGCGGGCGTCGTCGACGACGCCTGCCACGACCTCGGCGTCGAGCGGCTGCGGGACTACGACGCTCTGCTCGCGGGCCCGCTCCGGGGCGCCGTCGTCGCCGAGGCGTCGGAGAAGCTCCGCGCGTCGCTCGACCGCGTCGGGATCCTCCGCGCGACGCGGCGGCCCCGGGGGTCCGTGCCCCGCGGCGTCGTCGAGGCCGTGCTCCGGGGCGAGGACGCGCCGCGGGCCGCGAGCGCCGCCGAGGACCCCGGCGCGGCGGCGCGGGCCGTCGCCGACGGCTTCGTCTACGCGGGGCTGCTGCGGCCCGCGCTCGCGGCCGCGCGCGCGATCCTGGCCGAGTCCGCGCCGCCGTCCAAGGCGTCGCGCGGCTTCCGCTTCGGCCGGGGGCCCCGGGCCGCGCCGGCCGACGCGCTGCCCGGCGCGCCGCCGGCGAAGTTCTACGACGTCGTCCGCGCCGCGGACGTCGCGGCGCGGAGCTGGCGCGCGGAGACGGCCGGCGCGGCGGACGCGGCCTTCAAAGCGGACCTGGAGTCGACGCTCGCCGACGCCGCGAAGCAGTTCGCGAAGGCGCTGGGCGCCGCCTTCGCCGACGCGCGCGGCGAGAAGGACTTTGCTATCAAGGACGAGCCCGACGAGCTCCGGCCGACGCGGGCGACGCTGCTCTTCCGCGACGAGCTCAGCGGGCGCGCCGACGGCGTCGCGCGGGCCCTCGGCGGCGGCGACGAGCTGCTCCATCGCTGGCGGGCGGCCCTCGCCGACGAGGTCTTCTCGGTCGTCGAGGCGCACCTCGCCGCGCTC